GATTCTTCCTCTATTAAAACCATTCTGTTCTTCCCACCTCCCCTGCTGACTGCTAGGTCTGAATGACCGCCATCCCTTGCCTGGACAAATACAAGTTTCCTTGCTAGTCTCCCACCTTCACTGATGGCCCTCTAGAATCGATTTTCTACTCAGAAATCAGATCACAGCTCTCATCCAGTTTAAACCTTCCAATAGATTCCCCCAAAACAAACAACGTTACAGCCTACCGTATAAGATCCTGTGATCAGGCCCAACTTCCTTACTCATCTTCTCTTCCTTCAGTTCTTCCAAAATGCTGATTGTGTTCCTACCAAACTCCTCACCTGGCATCCTCACTCCCTTCATTTCTTTGTGGTAGGAACTCCTCTGTCTTCTTGGTCCAGGGCTTACATGTTCAAGTTCCCTCAAGGGAATCTTCCCTGACCAATCTAAGTAGGCTTTCTTCCCGCCCCCACAAATCACTCTCAAATCACCCTATTTTATCACTGTCATCATGCTGATCACTATCTGAGATTATGCAGATAATTCGTTTGCTTGTTTATTATGTTTCCCTCCACTATATATAAACTCCTAGAATGCAGGGATCTGTCTGATTTTCACATTTGTATCCACAGTAACAACAGTGCCTGGAACTAACAGGTACTCAATAAAATGGGTCAAATAATACTACACGCCATTCAATCCCCTGCGGCTCTAATGTAGGCACTGGATGGAGGGATGAATTCAGCAGATCCAGATTTAATTACTGTGTATACCTCTTATTTTACTGGGTCGTCAGAAAAGCCGTGATGCATTTTCGCATAGAAAAATATGTCGTGACTTTTCCAATGACCCAATAAGTAATGTCCCTTGACAGGTGATCAGATCCTCAATTACCTTGTTTGAAATATGTAGATAGCAATAATACCTACTATATATACAGAGCTGCTATGAGATTAAAACGCTTGGAAGTACACAATAAGACCATGCTGGACTGAGTCCCTGGCCCAGTGGGCCTGAAAACATGCTGAGCACATGCGTGCATGCACAGGATCCTGGTGGGCTAGAGGACTGGAGGAACCCGATTGTGGTGTGACCGAGCCCACGAAGGGTGCTTCTCTCCTCTTTTTCTGTGCATGTGCATGCTCGATTGTGAATTAAAAAAGGGAAAATCTCAATAACTAGCTAGCATATACCTACTAAATTACACACACATACACACACACACAGACCTTGGCACACATCTTCACTTGGTGTGATGTTTCTGCTGCCCTGCCTTTGAAATTTCAATGTATGTGTTCTTATCAATGTTGTGTCTCAAGAGCACACTTGGAGGCGATACGTCTCTGACTGGTTCTTATTACAGCTGTGCACAGTTCTGAGCTCTCAAAATCTCTTTAAGTGATGTATCTCAAAATATAAATCTTCCCCTCCAGCAGAAGGCAGTGATTTTAAGTGGCCTCCATTCCATCCACTTCCTCAGAAGCCTGGGAACAGTAAATACACACACGTCCATACAAACACTGCATGTGTCGAAAGATACGGGGTAAAAACTACCTCTGCATTCGTCATAAAATCCTGCGAACACAGGTTAAAGAAGTAACTTCTGTTATAAAGTATGCCCTTTACTCCACAACTCAATCTTTATCATTTATTATTTTTATTTGGACAATATATATACATATGTACAAAATACCTACTATCAGAATCCTCTTTTATAATTTCATTTGATTTACAAAAACAGGACAGCAAAATAACTTAGGTCACTAATACTGTACAAAAATAAAACTGATTAAACAGTTGTAAAGATCAGTATCTTACAGTGTTACAGATCATTCGTCTGTTGTGAAGGAACATCTCAATCTATCCAGAGTGATGAGTACTGTGCTAAGTCTACCTGCAAACTGACAAACAAATCAGTTTCTGTGATTATAACTACCAAATATAATTCTCAAAAGAAGCATGATGTAGAGCTAGACCTTAAAGCCAGGGCATCATTCCACAATGGTGAAGGGCTTTCTTCTTCCCTAACCAAGGAGAGGAGATATCTTAACTCTAAAACTATTAAATTTTCCAGAATATGACAACTACTTACAGTATTAGATAATACAACTTTTCTTCCTTTTGAAACACCTGCAATAGTCTTTCAAAAAATTCAGTTTGGTTAAAAAAGTAAACAAAAATTACTATCCTGCATTTGGATTTTCATCAGTTAAATCCATGGTCTTTTTAATATAAAAAGTAATTGTTTCATAGTTTTAGTGTTCAACGAACTCTAGTAGTCCTATTTGAACCATATCTTGATAGAGTACATCTAATTCGAATGCTGGTTCCTGTTTTGTGACGTTTTAAAACAGGATTTATCACAAAGAATAAAAAGCCTTGAGTTTATACGTTACGTTACTAGAACATGTAAGAGAATATCAAATGTGTGTTTGTCAACAACTTGAAAAGGCAAGTAGCAACTTTCGGGGGAAGGAAATTGTGCATTTTTTTAAACAAGTTGCTGCATTGAAAACCGTCTAAGTGCTTGACAAAAGCCACATATAGATTTCCTCCTGGAACTATAAAGATTGTCTTTCACTGACTTTGCTTTGTTTTCCTTCGTTTCTTTCTGTGAGGGAAAGATGAGTTTTTTACAAGTTGGCAGGTTGCTAGGCAACCCCAAACTCCTCACTCACTAAAAGGCAGCGTGCAGAGTATCATAAGCAGAACCATTCCATGAGCCAGTAAGAAATAGGCAGCCTAACCTATTTCGTATGGAAGAACAGATGTCCTTAAAACTTATTTTGGACACAGAAATTAAAATTTGGTTTAAAATAAGCGTTTCAAAAATCTGAAACAGAGGTAGAAAGTGTTCTTTATTTTTCCTGACATGTTTTCTCGTGAGAAAACACTTTCCTTTTTATCCTGCGGACTGCTCCCAGTCCCTAATATTAAAAGCAGCTCTCTTTAGAGAACTACTAATTCACTCCATTGGTTAAACGAAAAAACACCGTGCGAGTGATGGCTGTGGTATTGGAAGTCGGAGTCAGCTGTGACCCGTGCCCGCTGCAGGCGCCCACCCTGATTCAGAATCGGGAGCGAGCCGGCCCCAGGTGAAATCGGTGAGTTCACATACAGGTAGGCACCCCATGTTTACATGACACATTTGAGAGCACATGAATACACTGGGGTGCGCTATAGCTTCCTGTTTAAAATATCAGATAAAACCATCAGAAAGTGTGACTTCTGAAGGAAAAAAAATGTAAACATTTCCCCCAGGATCACTGCTGACTCCTCTCATTTGAGGTTTTTGCCTTAACTGTGAAAACTTGGTTCGATTTTCTGGCCATGGCAAGGCCAAAATTAAGTTTCCAGGTAAATGGCATAATATGGATGTAGTGGTTTAGGCCATTGTAGACACCTAGATACGTAGTGGCGAGGCTACCGATGTCAAAGGTTACAGTGCAGTGATTTCATTCCTGTGTGTTTCTTTTGCCTACGGTCTCGGAAAGGGACTATTTTGCAGAGTCACCTCTGAAATCATCGTGGTATTTTCCCTTAGCACTCACTACTTAGAGGGGTTTATTTTTCTTTTCATATTCCAGCTCCCTTTTCTTCTACATAACTCTTGCACCCCATAGTGGGAGTTTTGTAGGAACACGGGAAGGAGACCTACATGCCTTTTCCCCCCCCGAAATAGGCATTGCCAGATCTAGTTACTGTTATGCACCCAGTCAAATAACCAAGAGCCCTCTCTTTTAGTGGCATCATGGTAGACTAAGATGATGTTAACTAAAAGGACAGGAAAATTTGGAAAAGTTAATAGAGTTAAAATTCTGTTTGTTCTTTTTGTTTAATTTTTTCGTAACGCTATCCTCCTTCTCCTTCAGCATCTGCTGTGTATATTCTGCCCTCACATCCCTGCCATGATTTCTCAGGGAAACGTGTACACTGTAAAGTAAGCAGATTATAATGTGGTGCCAAACAGAACGTCTGCTTCTATCCTCAAAGCGTGTATTTAACTTATTCATCCTCTGCATTAGAAAGTAAAAGTGCGGCTTATGTTCAAAAAGTACAATCCATACAAAGCAAGGTTTCAAAGTTCTGTACTCCGTGTAACCTTTCAAAGGTTTGTCTTGATGAGTATAAATCCAGACTCTGCTTACCCATGGACTATAAGTAACTGTTTTGTTTTCAAGTCTTTAGATGACAGATCATGCTGGAGTAGATGTGCTCTTACTTGCATAAAGACAGCTGTGCTATGGCGGGGTTTTTTTTTTTTTTTTTTT